GCACTCAATCCACTGAGCCCCACCAGCTAGGGCCATTGTAATAACCTTAATCCAGCTCCTTTTCTCCCTCCTGAAACTGATAAAGAATCTTATGACTGCTTCGCACTGACAAATCACCTCCTGACTCTTTGTGAAGAGTGTAGAGGAGACACCTCTAGATAAAGCTGATTTCTCACAGTTTTCAGATGGTTTATATTTTAAAAACAAAAATGGTAGATATTCTGCAGATTATGCAATTGTAACTCCTTTTGAATTCTTCAAGACAGCGTCTTTGCCTTTGGCTACTTCAGCACAGCAGGCTGCATTATATGCCCTCACTTGAACTTTCATTTTAGCAAGGAGTAAAACTGTCAGCACCTACACTGACAGTAGATATGCCTTTGGAGTAGTTTGCGACTTTGGAGTGTTATGGAAGCAATGTAGTTTTCTTACCTCTAATGGAGATAAAATTAAAAATTATCTTTATGTTCAGGAATTTTTGGATGCTATAGTTTTACCTGATGCTTTAACTATTATTAAGATTTCAGGGAAATCACCTGGCTGACACTTCTGCTAGAATTGCTGAATGTAAAGGCATCACCAGTAGTCAAACCTCTGTTATGGTCCAAAGAGACATTTCCCCAGGTAATTACTCAGAAAAACTGGCCAGAGAACTCCAACAATTGGCTTCAGGGAAGAAAAAAAAAAGCTATGTTGGAAATCTAGCAATTGCTGGTTTAATAAGAAGAGAAAGCTCTGGTTTGGACAAATGAACAATCTAGTCCTACCAGAAACTCTAAAACTTCCAGTCCTGACTACGATACCTGCATTTGCCCAACAGAAGAACTTCCCCCACTCTTTTGCCCGATAATCCAGTTGGAGCAGCTCCCCACGGAGACTAGAAAGCTAGCTCTTTCTCCCTACATGGGAAAGGAAGGAGTGTTAATCCCCTTGGCATGGCAATGCTGTGATCCCCTAGGGAATGTGTGAAGCTGTATCTTAAGCTTCTTAATCTCTGATTTCCTTTGCACCCTTCTGTCATTAATATCTAGCTACTTATTCTAACAGCTGTGGCTGGGTCAAAATGGCATTTAGTACCTGCATCTGTGTGCTCCCTACTTTACTAAAGAGACTGTGATGTCTTTCCTCTGTCTGGTATCCAAACTTGGATCCTGATTTCAAAAGTTCTCAAATTGTTTAGGCATTCCCATTCCCCAGGACACAGGTACCAAGTAAATGGGCAGAGGTCCCCCTGGGAGAACTGGGAATATTATCATTATTATTTTTTGTCCCAGAGTTCCTGGCTCCTTTGTCTTGGGATCCTATTCACCCTTCCAGGAAACAGATTCAGGATCCCAAATTGGTTCAGATTAAGGCTAGGCATTGTGACATTTTATTATGACTTCCTCTCAGCCTCCTGCTAACATTCTAAATTCTATTTGATTGTTTCCTCCCCATCTCTTGTGACCTTACAGATGCCTTGTGTATTCATCATCTTCAGAATTCTTTCTGGTCAGGCCCAGACTCCAACCTGTTATGCAATGAATGTGTGTGTTCTCCAAAAATTCATTTAATGAAACCCTAATCTTCAATGTGCCAAAGTGATGGTAATTACTTGTGAACCTTTGGGGGACAATTAGGTAATAAAATTGAGTCCCTCATGAGTCTGATTACTGCCCTCATTATAATAAAGAATAATGAGAGCTCCTCCCACCCCTTCCACCATGTGAAAACACAGGAAGGAAGCAGCCCTCTGTAAAGCAGGGGGAGCGCCCTTACCAAAACCCTCCAATGCTGGCACACTGATCTCAAAATAAAAGCCTCCAGAACTAGAAGAAATAAATATTTGTTTTCAAGCCACGCAATTTATGGTAACTTTTAATAGCAGCCTGAGCTAAGATAAACCATGATGCTCATTACTATAGTTGTATGAACTTGGCTTCTGATATTTAAGTGGCAACACCTGCCCTCCATGTATAAAGATTTGTCACCCTTTGCACTAGCAGGAGCATCCAATCCTGCAATAGCATATGTCCTTTTGGCTCTTGTCTACGGCAGATAGGCCACCACAGCACTTTTAATGATGATGGGATCCTTCTCACCAGTGCATATTCTTATGTTTGGTAAATTGCTTCTAATACCTTGAAAGTGTAATTCAAAGATAGGAAGTAGAAGCACTCTAGCTGAGATTTCAAAGAAAGACAAGAAAGTGTATATATCAGTTCTGAAGCAAATATAAAGGATTCAGAACTGGCCTAAATGAAAATAATATTAGGATGCAAACTTTATACTTTCTATAGTTTGATCTTAATCTGAGACCCTTCATTGTACAGGCTGATGTCATTTCTAGAAGTAATGAGCACTTTCATCATTTAATAGCCATTTTTTACACTCCTTTTTTGTTATGTGTTACACTTTACATTTTACTTGTTATTTATTTATGAAATGGTAAAGCAAGTTTTCTTTACAATATTCAAAGGAAAGAGTATAAAAGGAAAAGCATGTGACTTGTTCACCCTTGATTCCACCCAGTTCTCCTGAGTAGGAATTGATATCACCAGCTTCTAAGAAGGGCTCCCAGGACTTCTGGCCAAGATGGAGGCATAGGTAGACACACAGTGCCTCCTTGCACAACCAAGATAGGGACAACAACAATTTAGAAACAGAATAACAACTAGAACTAACATAAAATTGAACTGTATGGAAGTTGGAAAGCCAAGGAGTTAAAATAGACACCTTAATCCAGAATGGTGGGGGTGGGGGTGGAGTCGGGCAGCCAGGCAGAGAGGGAGAGGGGTCGAAGAACAAAGAGCGTTGGGACTGGCGTAAGGCATCCTGGGCGCACAAGACCACAGCGGGTGGACCCTGGGCATGCACGTGGTGGCTGGCAGACTCAGCAAGGTGGCCATTGTGAAGCAAGGCACTGCACGCAAGGTATCTGACTGACCAGGCGGTCCCAGGGTCCCAGCATCAGGAAACAGAGCCTCAGGGTACTGATTGAAAACACCTGTGAGGGTTGAGGTGCAGGGAGAGACTCCCAGCCTCACAGGAAAGGTCATTGGAAAGACCCACGGGGTACACAAGCCCACCCACATGGGAATTAGAAAGGCCCAGTTTGTTTGGGGGAAGTGGCAGAAGGGACTGAGAGTCCAGTGGAGAGTGGAGCAAGTGCCATTGTTCCCTATCAGACCCTGCCCCCACATACAGTGTCACAACCCAGCGACTGGGTTACCCCCTCTTGGTGAACACCTAAGGCTCTGCCCCTCAATGTAACAGGCACAACAAGACAAAAAAAAAAAAAAGATGGCTCAAACAGAAGAGCAAATGAAAGCTCCAGAACCAATACTTTTAAGCAACTGAGGGATAGCCAACCTATCAGATACACAGTTCAAAACACTGGTGATCAGATGCTCACAGATTTGGTTGACTTTTGTCACAAATTAGATGAAAAAATGAAGGCTACAATAAGTGAAATGAAGAAAAATGCACAGGGAACCAATAGTGATGAAATGAAAGCTCAGTCTCATATCAATGGAGTGGACCAGAAGGAAGAAAACAACATACAGTCAGAAAAGAATGAAGAAATAAGAATTCAAAAAAATGAGGAGAAGCTTAGGAACCTCCAGGACATCTTTAAACATTCCAACATCTGAATTATAGGGGTACCAGAAGGAGAAGAGGAAGAGCCAGAAATTGAAAACTTATTTGAACAAATAATAAAGGAGAACTTCCCCATTCTAGCAAAGAAAATAGACTTCCAGGAAGTTCAGGAAGCTCAGAGTCCCAAAGAAGTTGGACCCAAGGAGGAACATGCCAAGGCACATCATAATTACATTATCCAAGGTTAAAGATAAGGAGAGAATCCTAGAAGCAGCAAGAGATAAGGAGACAGTAACCTACAAAGGAGTTCCCATCAGACTGTCAGTTGATTTCTCAAAATAGTCCTTACAGGCAAGAAGGGGCTGGAAAGAAGTATTCCAAGTCATGAAGGGCAAGGACCTACATCCAAGATTGCTCTATCAAGCAAAGCTTTCATTTAGAATGGAAGGGCAGATAAAGTGCTTCTCAGATAAGGTCAAGTTAAAGGAGTTCATTGTCACCAAGCCCTTATTTTATGAAATGTTAAAGGGACTTATCTAAGAAAAAGAAGACAAAAAATATGTATAGTAAAATGACAGCAAACTCACAATGATTAACAACCACACCTAAAACAAAACCAAAAGAAACTAAGCAAACAACTAGAACAGGAACAGAACCACAGAAATGGAGATCACATGGATGGTTAGCAACAGGGTAGTAGGAGGAAGAGAGGGGGGGAAAGGTACAGAGCATAAGTAGCATAGATGGTAGATAGAAAATAGACAGAGGAGGGCAAGAATAGTATGGGAAATGTAGAAGCCAAAGAACTTACAAGTATGACACATGGTCATGAACTAAAGGGGGGGAGGCAATGTGGGTGGAAGAGGGTGTGCAGAGTGGAGGGGAATAAAGTGGGGAGTAATGGGACAACTGTAATAGCATAATCAATAAAATATATCTAAAAAAAGAAGGGGTCCCAGACATAGTCAGTGCATACATAAGTATGACTGCATACAGCGATTATACTGATGTCCAGTAAGCACATCATACACACCTTGTGTACCTCACTTTTTCCCTTTATGATATATTTTCAAGATTGTTATGTAATTATAAAAATAGAGCTGTACTCTAAATTTATTTACTGGATGCATAGTATTCCAGTATACACACATGTCGAATTTATATTACTAATTTCCATAGATGAGTACATAAGTAGTTTCCAACCTTGAGTCACTTAAAGTAGTGATGCAATGGATTATTTGTAAGTACATTCATATGATTTTAAATATGTATATTTCATACAGTACACATATTATATCAAAGTGTACATGAATTTATTCTAATGTGTGCTAAGCATTGATATCCTCTAGCAGGCACTTTTTATGTTTAAAACTGAGATGAATGAAATAAAATAGAACACAGACAAAAAATAAGCCAGAACATGTATCTACATTCACAATTTAATTGAAAGGAAAACTATTTCTTTTTAAATAGTGAGCCTATGCTGCTCACAACACCACCAATAAGTTTAGTGGGAGCAAGCAATATTGAACCGAGTTCAGTGCCAATTCTATCTATGAATTTTCCAATCCAGGGAGTATCATTTCGAGTACTATCAATCATATTTTTCAAATGATTTATTTCTGCATCCATCTCTTCAGATTTCTTTCTAAACCCATCTTTAAGCAGTTCTTCTTGAACCTGAAACAAAAAATTTGAGAGAAGTAAACCTTTTTAAATTCTCATTTTTCAAGTATTAAATTTAGTATTTAAAAACTTGTTCTTAAATATATGAAATATTTTTCTCTCACTCTTAAAATTGTTCTCACTTACAAAATCAAGGAGAATTCTACAGTAAGGAATATATTCTGTCTTGGGCCTAAACATTGAAAAAGGGCAGAGTTCACAGCCTTACAAATATTCACACATCAATAGAGTTTTGCTGGGGTGCTAAGCCTGGTCTGAGTACAAATGTAATATGTTCCAGACAAATAATAGCAGTTGAGAGGTAGCCTTGATGTGCTGACAATAATTCTCAGTCCCACTTGAAATAACATGGTTACCCAAAATGTAAAAATAATCAGAGCTTATACTTTGTTCTAGAACTCTATTATAAGCATGTCCAGATGGAAATCAGGGATGCTTCCTTTGCCAGAGAGTAATTTGGGTACACTGTCCATGCTTGGGAAAATGCAGAAAGTTTAAAAGCTGTCATTTCCCTGTGTTTTGAAGTATGGTCATTTCTGATCACTTATTATTAGCATAGATATCTACCTTAGGGTCTTTGGGTAGTAGTAGGGTTCCTGATAATTGGCAATGATCATGGTAAAGCAAACCACTTGCTGGCTATAATAAATACATGTGTTTGAAATAACTGCTTGTGCCCTGGCTGGTGTGGCTCAGTAGATTGACTGCTGGCCTGAGAACCAGCACTCAAAGGGTCACCAATTCAATTCCCAAATACCACACATGCCTAGGTTGTGGGTCAGATCCCCAGTAGGAGGTGCACAAGAGGCAATCACTCATTGCCATTTCTCTCCTTCTCTTTCTCCTTCCCTTCCCCTCTCTCTAAAAATAAATAAATAAATTCTTTAAAACTGTTTAATCAGGCCATGTAAGATCATTTAAAAATACCCCAAGAATTTCAGGTCAAGATGGTAGTGTAGATAAACACGGCTTGCATCCTTGCACAACCACATCAAAATTACAACTAAACTATAGATAGAACAACCAACTATAGAACAACTATCATTAATAATGGTCAGAAATTGAGCTGAATGGAAGTCCTACAACTACAGAATTAAAGAAAACCCCATATCAAGATGGTAGAAGTAATGGAGATGTGAAATGAACTGGCCCCAAATCTACATGTGGCAGGTAAAAGTTGGGAGGGATATCTCAGGAGCAAGGAGTACTAGCCCCACACAAGGCCCCACAGCCCAGGGTTCCAGTGCCAGGAAGATAAGTCTCCATAACTTCTGACTATAAAGCCAGCAGAAATTGAGGCTACAGGAGACAGAAACTACTGGAATTCCAGGCAGTTTCTCTTAAAGGGTCCGCACACAGACTTATTCAAACTCACTACCTCTGAACTCCAGCACGAGGGCAGAAGATTGAAAGGCATCAGAGAAATATGGGGAGGAACTTGGGGACAGCTTTCTCCAAGACAGAAGTCCTGGCAGAGGTCATTGTTTCTTTTTGAGCTTTCTGCCAATACAGCCACAAAGCCAGCATGCGGGCATCATATTTGAGACTCTATCAACAAGGTTCACACTGTTTGCCATACCCTAGAGATTCCATGAGGCTTTACCCCACCAAGCTTTCAGGCCCACCCAAGATGTTTCCAGTGGTTTTTCCATATGAATGGCTTGCTTTGGCCTATGCTTCATATTTTTCTAAATTCTCTCAAACAAGCAGCATCTGGCTTCAGCAAGCCACCTACTGCTCACTAAGTTGCCCCAGGTCTGGCACTAGTAGGAGCCAGCCTTGGTTCGTAGCTCAGTTTCTCCAGGGGACCTTCAAGCCAGCATCAATAGCAGCCTATCTGCAGACCACTTTATAGTTTATGCTGTGTGACCACAGACAGAACACCGGCACTGGCTGACTTTGGACATGCCAATAGAAATCAATGCCCAACTACAAGAGGACTGTGTAGACAGCCTACAACATGGGTGCACCTTGAGTTCCCAGTTTGAGTGATAGTAAAGCTGTGTGACTGGACCATAAAGGACACCTGCTACATTAAGCCACTCTATTAAGCCTGGGAGAAAGAATAGCTCCACCCAGTACTTAGAAACAAACACAGGAAGGGTGTCAAAATGAGTAACAAAGAAACATGGCCCAATGAAATAACAAAATGAAACTCCAGAAAAAGAACTTAAAAAAACAGAGATAAGCAATCTGTCTAAGGCAGAATTCAAAACACTGGTTATAAGGATGATTGAGTAATTTAGTGAGGACCTCAACAGGATAAAAAAGATCCAGTCAGAAACTAAGGATACACTAATTGAAATAAAGAACAATTTACAAGGAATCAACAATAGAGTGGATGCAGCCAAGAATCAAATCAGCAATTTAGAACATAAGGAAGCACAAAACAACTGATGAGAAAGGTGAAAAGAAAAAAGAACCCATAAAAATGAGGATTGTGTAAGGAGCCCCTGGGACAACTTCAAGCATGCCAATATTCATATCATAGGGGTGCCAGAAGGAGAAGAGTGAGAAACTGGAAAATTATTTTAAAAATAATGAAAGAAAACTTCTCTAATTTGGTGAAGGAAATAGATATGCAAGTCCAAGAAGCACAGAGAGTCCCAAACAAGATGGATACAAAAAGGCCCACTCCAAGGCAAATCATAATTAAAATGCCAAAGTTTAAAAATAAAGACAGAATCTTAAAAGCAGCAAGAGAAAAGCAGATAATTACATACAGTGGATCCCCATAAGACTATCAGCTGATTTCTCAAAAGAAACTTGCAGGCTAGAAAGGATTGGCAAGAAATATTCAAAGACACGAAAAACAAGGACCTATAACCAAGATTACTCTACCCAACAAAGCTATCATTTAGAATCAAAGGACAAATAAAGACCTTCCCAGACAAGAAAAAAAGGTAAAGGAGTTTATCACCACCAAACTATTACATGAAATGTTGAAGGGAAGAAGAAGAAAAGAAGAAGAAGGGGAAGGGGAAGTGGAAGGAGAAGGAGAAGGAGAATGAAAATGAAAATACCACCAAATAATACCTAAAACCCTATTTATATTCTTGTATAATTCAGCAAGCCACCTACTTGCCCTGACACACCAGAGTGTATGAACAAAATAGAGTACAAAGACATTTTAACAATGACAGAGAACGAAGGGAAAGATTCAAGGTTTTACTAAACCATAAGCAGAAAACGCGCTCCCTTCCATGATCTGGTGGTAATCTTCTCCATCCCACCTGAGTACAATGACCATCGAGCATTACTGAGGCTACAGCAGGACTTACCTTCAGTTTATGCTCCAGCATCATAGTCTGCTCTCTTATTATGTTCTCTCTTTCTCGCTCCATCTTCTCCTTCAGTTGGGCTATGTTTTCCTCGAGACTCTTCTTCTGGGCTTCCATCTGTTGCTCCTGCTCCTGCAGTTTCTGTTTCATCAGCTCCTGCTCCTTCTCAGCAGCCTCCTTCCTGGCCTGCTCCTCTGCCCCAGGGAGGTTTGAGAGAGGCAAGAAAATTGAGTGAAGTCTGATGTCTACCCTCCTGAGCTCAGAACCCAAACCAGACCAAAGGAGAGGTGGGAAATCTCTAAACCAGCCCCCTTGACCTCACCATCAACAGCACAGTTCAGAATGTCATTGGAAAGGCCTGACTGGTTGATATTCCCTGAATGTTAAAAGACTTTGCAGAATCTTTTCCACAGAGAAAAAGAGCTCCTTGTTTTGGGAAGGTGTTTTTTCACACCTGTCAAGGACACAGAGGAACCTGCCCTGTCCCATACCTGCCATGGCCTTCTCCCCATCTGTGAGTGCTTTGTCTGCCTGCAGAATGGATTTCTCTATTGCCATCTGTGACTGCAGGAAGCTCTGGAGGACCTCGTTTGCCTAAGGAAACAAACGGGAGCAAAGGATGTTGATTTCCACTGGGAAGAATAATGCAACAAGAACAAGTAAGTCCATGGACATTTTTCTTCAGGATTAAAATTGTATCGTGGCCCTACACACAGTGTCCAGACTCCTTAGAGTCACCAGAGGTTCTCCATACCTGACGCCTCCTCTCTCCCTCCTCTCTCCCTCCTGTCTCTCTCCCAGGGCTCCTTCCTTCCCACACTCCAGGTTCCAGCCAGTGGAAACCCCATGCTCAGTTCTACAGACCCACTGTCTCTGCTGCTTTTTTTTATCTGTATTTGCTTCCCCAGGGTGAAATGTCTCTAGTTAACACTGCTCCTTCCTTCTGTCACTTGCTGACTGTAACTTGAGGCAAGTCATTTTAACCTATCTCTGCCTCTCAGTTCAGATGTGTAAAATGTTCACAAAAAGTACAAATGCTTCTTCATTCTATCTGAAGAATTACATTTAAAAGTCTAGGGAAAGAACTTAACACTATGCTTATACTAATAACAGTTCAATATACATTAGTTTCACTATACATATCATTATTGCTTTTTAACATTATTACATGTTGCCATTACCTATGTAGCCAACCTTCTCGGGTTCATGAGTATTATAGTGATGTGCAATTATCTATGTGCTTCCTTTCTTACTTTTGATCAGCTTTAAAGCCAAAGAGTCTGACTTGAAGTTGTAAATCAACATTTGGCACATTAAATGTCAAGTTGCTGAATGAAGAGATGAATAATTTCTGTGCTGCCTGTTGCAGAATTTGGAAATCCACACTCATTCAAGATTTAGTATTTCTATTCTACTTAAGAAGAAAGGCAACTAATAAGACTTAAGGACTAAAACAGTCGTAATATCCTCATGCTTGCATATTCCTCACCTTCACTCCTTTCCTGGGCACTTTGCAATAGTCCCCTTCAATCCTTTCCTTTGTTTCCAAGTAGAGCTTGTGACCCCCAGGAACAGAGAAAGTTCCTGCTGAAATACTTTCCATGAGGGCCACTGAAAGCTGATCAAGTTTAGCCTGGCAGTACTTAACAGATTCCTCTTCATTCTGCAGCATGAAATCATCCTTCTTATCCTTTATGATTTCCTGCAAGTGAAGTATAGAGGGATGTCACCAGAAGAAAAGAACTAAGGATATAAAATTACAAAGAACCTGGCAGAAGGAAGTCTGGCTCTGGTCCTCATGGGAAAAGCATTCTGTTGAAGACAGACATGGACTAAAGCAGGAATTACAAGATCTGGTTTACTCACTACCCTGAAAATTCCATTTAAGGCAGGAAAAAACTACTTCATCCATGAGTGAGAGAGGAGGAATGGGTCATCAAAAGTACTTATAGGTTTCATTCTTCAAAAGGAATGGCCACAAAGGGTAAATAAGTGCTAAGACAAAGTACCACAAGCTTCTTCTGGAACTCCTGGTTTTTATCCTTGAAGGACTTCTCCATGAAGATTGCAATGGCTTCCCTCTCACAGGCTGCGTGCAGGTCCAGCAGTTCCTGGAGCGTGTCTGTGGGGAACCTCACTTGCTGGGCCATCTGCTCACTGTAGTGGTCGGCTGCCTTCTGCACAGCCGCTGAGTTCTCAATCTGGGCCAGAGTTGTCACTGCATTCTCCAAACAAGGCACTGCTCCACTATTGATGGCATCCACATAAGTCACTACCAGAGTCTGCAGCCCTAATAAGCCAAGAAATTTATCAAGTTATCACTCAACAAGGTCAAGTTTCTGAGATTACATCTCCAAAAGTCTTTTTCTCTTTCTGTCCCTGTCTCTCATGCACACACACATATATTGTCTCCTTCTACATTGTTACACTATTACAGTAGGCTGTTAGTTAGATACTATCAAGAGAGGAGGGAGCGTAGGGAACTAGATATCTGATTAAGCCTTTTTAAATAGGAAAAAACGGCTTTACAGTCACCCTGGTGAGTGACCAACATTGGAGTAACTGACATCATTTTGCCAAACAAAACAAAATCATCCAAGTAGGCAGGAAAGACAGTTTTTTAGTCCCCCAGGGAAGTCTGTCTGACTAACAGAGGAGGGAGAAAAAGGTATAGAGGGAATTCCTTTTACTGAGTGCAAACACAGTAGATGCCAAATGACTAAGTAGAACCATGAGATATGTGCAACAGGAGCCAAAATGGTGTGTGTACAAGCCTGAGGGCACAGCCTGGAAAATGCCAGGAAATAGGAGGAGGGCACAAGCACAAGCCCAGGAAAATTCAAGAAAGAGATCACATATTTTGAAAGAAAGCCTGCTCTTTTCCAAACCCCCCAAAATATAGGGAGGCTAACAAAGACTTCAGGCAAGTAGCTGCTCTCTAGACTGCCCACCCTCTGTATCTCTGAGAGCTTACTTTCACTTTCACTTTAATAAATCTTGCCACCAAGGCTTAGAACTTTTCCTACACAAGGGTCCCTGGAATTCTTTTCCCATAACACCAGAGAAGAACCTATTTCTTCTGGTAACACTATTGTCCCACTGACTCTTAACTCTCATGATTCTTCATGCCACAAGACTAAAAAATTTCCATGTGTCCCTAGCCAGGAGGTTCACTTCATTGGAGCATTGTCCCATGCACCAAATAGTTGTTAAGTTTGATTCCCAGGCTGGGTACATACTAGGTTGCAGATTCGATGCCCAGTCATGGCACACATGGGAGGCAACTGATTGATGTGTCTCTCTCCCATCGACGTTCCTCTCTCTCTCTCTCATTTCCACTCTTATAAATTAATAAACATATCATCATCTGAGGATAAAAAAATTTCAATGTCTACCTTCATCTAACATACTAAAGGATATCTAGAAAACATAACATCTCATTAGCAATCTTAGAAGCAAATTGTTTACATAGGTAGACATGTGGATCAGGGTATATGTGATTATATTTATTTCTAATTCTAAAGTTTCCAGTAAATTTTCAGAGATATATGAGCTAATATTCATTATTCGACTGTTCTAAACTGTCAAAATATCTTTTGTATTCTCCTTGCAAATCACACTCATTATAAAGAAATTCCTTTGAGGAAACAGTATATTCTATTTAATACCCAGTTAGTGATTTATTATCACTAGAGGATTTTTTCACAGGTATGTATGTTGTAGATATTACTGATAATGTCTGTTATTTTGAAGAAGAATTAATAAACCCTCAAATGTGTGATAAATATACACTTGTTTTCATGAAGTATAAATATCTGTAAATCCATAATTCAACATAGAATCAAACAGAAATCCTGAAGAAGACATCATATGATATATATTCAACAAATATTAGACTTCACAGAACGTGAAAAGGAGACTCACGTTTCCCAGTGACCATGATTCCCTCTCTTAGGGTTTTGGTTCTTGACTGGGTGAGGATGTAAGAACAGAAATTGTTTGTTTGTTCCCGGAATTGAGGATTCAGTTGGTGTTCTGCAACATTCTCAATATTTGCTAAGAGTTGTTTGTCATAGATAGGTCGGTCAAAGACAAAACACTTTCTTTTTGGAAAGAAATGACAGATGCACTCTCTGGGGAGATTGGATATTTGAGCTTTGGGATTCCTGCCTGAAGACAAAACAAAAAAACCAAAAAAACAAACAAACAGAGATTACAGTAGAAACAGTCTGAGTGAGGACAAGAGACCTAAAAATTATTATGGCAGATTTTTGGATCTTTGCCATAGTCTATGTGTATAGCTTCGGTTTATATCTCCTTCAGCACATAGATATTCAATGCTTCGTTAACATCAAGTTTACCAATGATACAACTCTGGGGAGAAATTTTAGAATATATCAAACATGGTAAAATATCTATTGCTGCTATCAGACCTAAAATGTTAGAACACTGTGTTGTCTATGTTGATTAATAGATGAATGACTAATGGAAAAATAAGTCAAATGTAAATTTGCTCAATTCTGTGTGGAAATGGAGCTGTGGGACCAAAATGAAGAGCAACAAACAAGACAATGAAAAAATAGTAGCAATAGCACCCAGATTATTTAAGGAAAACTGCTTAGATGCCAAAAAATAATGTGTACACCACTAGCTTTTTTTAAACCAAAACCTCTGAAGAGTAAATATAACTAAAATGTAATTTAAAGATGTCACCACTAATCTCTAAAGTATTAAAAATAAAGAACTGTATTGGTTTGACAGTGCTGCTCTTCTGCCTAGCCAATTTCTCACTTTTTGAGAAAGCAAAAATAGAAGCATGAGGAAAAAAATGAACAAATCAGAACTGATATTTCTTTCAAGGTTTCATCGCATACATACATACCCATTAAAATTATTTATTATTTTTGAAATCATAGCATGGATAAATATGTGGGAATTAAAAAAACCTGTAGTATAAATAGAAAAAATTACTGTAAAAATGTCCATATTTCCTAAAGCAAACTATAGATTCAATGCCATCTCCATCAAAATACCAATGGTGTTTGTCACAGTACAAGAATAAATAGTCCAAAAATGTATATGGAACCAAAAAGATCCCAAATAGCCACAGAAATCCTGAAAAAAGAAGAACAAAGTTGGAGGTATCATGCCACCTGATACCAAGATATACTACAATCCTGTAGTAATCAAATTACATGGTGCTGGAATAAAAACAGACACATAGATCAATAGAACAGAATGGAGAGCCCAGAAATAAACCCATACTAATCTGATCAATTAACATATGCTAAAGGAGGCAAAATAACATACAATGGGGTAAAGAAGCCTATTCAGTAGATGGTGTTGGAAAAATTGGACAAATACATGTAAAAATGAAACTATACCATCTTATTTCATATACAAGAATAAACTCAAAATGGATTAAAGACTTAACTGTTAAGACTCAAAACTATAAAACTCCTAGAAGAAAGCGTAGGCAGTAAAATCTCAGGCATTTCTTTTAGTGACATTTTTTCTGATATATCTGCCGGCAATGAAAACAAGAACATAAAATAAACAAATGAGGCTACATCAAATTAAATTCTTTTTGCACAGCAAAGAAAACCATAAACAAAATAAAAACATACCTATTGAGTGGATAAACATATTGGTCAAAATACAACCAATGAGGGATTAATATCCCAAATATATAAAAAATTCACACAAGTCAGCATAAAAAAAATTAAAAAGTGAGCAGAGAACCAGAATAGATGGTTCTCCAAAGAGGACAGACAGATGGCCAAAAGACATATACAAACATGCTCAACATCACTAATCAACAGGGAAATGCAAATTAAAGCCACAATAAGATACCACTTCACACCTGTCCAAATGGCTCTCATCAATAAAACAACAAACAACAAATACTGGTGAGGATGTGGAGAAAAGGGAACCATAGTACACTGTTGATGGCAATACAGACTTGTGCAGCCAGTACAGAAAACAGCAAGCAGGTTCCTCCAAAAATTAAAAATAAAACTATTTTATGGCACTGCAACTTCACTTCTGGTTATATATATCTGAACAAATCTAAAATAGTAATTTGAAAGAATATATATGTACTGCTATGTTCATTGAAGTGTTATTTATAATAGCCAAGACATGGAAATGCCCCAAAATAGACAAGTAGATAAAGACAAGATGGTACATATAAACAATGGAATAGTATGTAATCATAAGAGTGAACTCTTACCATTTGTGACAGTGTGGACAACCTAGAGGATATTATGCTTAGAGAAATACATTAGAGAAAGACAAATCTCATATGATTTAACTTCTATGTTGAATTCAATGAACAAAATAGAAACATATTCACAGATACAGAAAACAGACTGATGGCTGACAGAGGAAAGGAATTTTGGAGGGCTGGGTGAAAAAGATAAAGAGATTAACAAACACAAATTGGTAGTTAAAACAGCCATGAGGATGTAAAGTATGGCATAGGGAATGTAGTTAAAAATATTGTAATAACTTTGTATGATGCAAGGTACTGAAAAAATTAAGAGGATTATTTTGTAAAGTATGTGATATCTAGCCATTATGCTATACACTTAAAAATAATACAAAAATAATGTTGAATGTAAATTTATTTGAAAAATTAATTTATTTTTAAAAGGAAAAATGCTAAGATACAGAAATTAAAATGTATTTTCTGATAATTATCAAAAATTCAAAAAATGCATAGATTGAAAAGACAAAATATACTTCTTCAGATTTATTAGAACATAAAATCATTTTTATAGACAATATATAAAGACATTAGAAAGTTATATGCCTATTTTAGAAGGATAATGTCTACTTATGTGAAAGATTTTTTTTTCATTTGATAGACTTTTCCTTGCAATTTTGTATCTAACTATCTAATCAGTTGTTTTTCTCAAGGGGAAAGCAGGAGCTAAAGTTAGAATCAGATGCTAAATAAAAAATTGTGTAAAGAACAAATTGACTGTGAATAATTTTACTATAAGTTTACTATAGGCTCTACTTTTCTTAAGTGAACTTAAGCTCCAGTCCCTAAGGCCTTTCAACCCATCTCCCAGCCACCATTTCTACAGATTTCATCTAGTCTAAAACACAAATGCAACTCCAGAGATGACAGACAGTGTTTTGCACCCCCCACTCTGTACTGGACCATCCACTGCCCAGTCATGCTCTCTCACCTGGAATCAGCTTCAAGGCATTCTCTAGGTACTCATCTTCTGTAATGGGGTGATCGTTTAATTTCAGCTCCAGGGTGAAATCCCGTACAGCCCACACAAAGTCTGGAAAGAAACTCACAAACTCCATGGAATTGTCTACTCCATCTGGTGTAGGGGAGGACTTTGCCCTGATGAATTCTGTCAGCTCTGTCACATAACTAGCACCTGGTTAAGAAAAAGAAACTTCCTACCCACAATTCCCACATTCCTCTAAAAGAAAACATACATGGTAAAACTCTTTTGCTCTGGTTCCTTCTGGTCCACCAAAGGCAACTAAGTGAAAGAGAAGGAGAAGCTGACTGGATCTCCATTCCCACAGACCCCAGAACCCATGGTGGTGTGGTCCCTGGAAGGATACTGCAGCTGCTCCAGGGCCTGGTGGTTGATGGTGCCCATGCTGTTGTAGACAAACACGCTGCTCAGAAGCACGGCCAGGGCAAAGATCCACAAGTCATTCTTAGGGTCACCCTAGGAAGGACATTAGGGCCAAACAGCTAGGAGTTTACATGTGGAAATTTATTCAGACACTAAGTCTACCAGTCTTTCATTTTTATTCCAGCTAACATACTCACCACACAAAGAAGTTTGAAAACAGACATAGATACAGATATCAGGTTTGACAATTACAATGGCATTTCTTGTGACTGTAATTTTTTTCATAGATAAAGGATTATATCATACAGGACTTTCTTTTTATTTAATTGGATGAAATAAAATAACATAGAAAAACTTAGTGCTGTACCTATTGTACGATTAGGTTTAATGAAGGGTGTTAGCACATATTCTTTCTAAATATATTTGTTGGTCATGGGCTATATAAAATATACCATAAGTAACACAACTGGAGAGATTATCAACAAATGTTTATGGGAAACTATTGAATATTTCCACTGTTGTTAAATTTAAAAAGCAGTTTAAAATGAAAAATATTATTTTCTAGATGACTGTTTCAAAGCTGTGATGCACATCTATAACAATGAATGCAACAAAGATAATATCTGTAAGGAGTTACATCTTAATAATGTATATAAGCACTAGAACCTGTAGCTACAATATTAAATTAAAATTTACAAGTTCTTCAAGGAAGAAGTAAGATCTTAAAGTTGGAGACTCGTATATAACCTGAAGCCTTTCTCAGCATCTTGGCTGAAAATGAAAGACTTGGTAGAATGTGAATCTGAAGAAATGAAGGTTAACCTGCAGGTAGAAAGACCCTAAGAAGCAAAAGTAAACATGGCAGAATCCAGGGGTCTTTTTAATAGAGTTACTTGATTTGGCTGGAACACAGGGTAGGCAAGAAGTTAAGGGTGCACAGTGAGTCTACTGAAACCACATGAAGGATCTTAAAGGCTGGGCTAATTTGTTTGTATAAAATATAGCAGTGTATAAATAATGACATAACACAGAGTTTTTTCTATTATAAACGGTGTCTAAATTGGTTCATTAGCAAAGTTAAAAATATCTAGAAAATGCAATAAGAAATTTTTAGAAGGGAACATCAATTTGTTAGTTTATCTTCCCAAATTTCAATTTAAAACCATAATCAACAAAAGAAGAAAGCAAACAAAATATAACCAGAGACATTGAAATTAAGAACAATCTAACAATAGCCAGAGAGGAGGTGAGGGGACTGTGGGGAGAAGTGTTTTCAGGAACTACTATAAAGGACACATAGACAAAACCAAGGGGGAGGGTGGAAGCAAGGGAGGGGGGGAGGTTTGGAGGGGGTGAGGGGGAGTAGTGGGGAGAAAATGCAGACAACTGTAATTGAACAACAATAAAGTAATTTATGAAAAAAAAATACTGGTCTAAGGATGCTTAAGGAACTTAGTGAGGACCTCAACAGCATGAAAAAGATGTAGTTAGAAATGAAGTTTACACTACTTAAAATAAAGAATAATTTACAGAGAAATAGTAGAGTGGAAGAAGCTGAAAATCAAATCAATGATCTGGAACATTAGGAAGCAAAAACAAGAAATCAGAACAAGAAGAAGAAAAAAGAACGAAAAAAATGAGGATATTGTAAGCAGCCTCTGGGACAACTTCAAGAATTCCAATATTTACATCATAGGGGTGCCAGACAGAAAAGACAAAGAACAAGAAATTGAAAATATTTGAAAAAAATAATGAAAGAAAACTCTTAGTTTGGTGAAGGAAATAGACATGCAATTCCAGGAAGCACAGAGAGTCCCAAACAAGATGGATGCAAAGAGGCCGACAGCAAGACACATCATAATTAAAATGCTGAAGTTTAAAAGTATAGAGAGAATCTTAAAAACAGCAAGAGAAAAGCAGTTAGTTACCTACAGGGGAGTTCCCATAAAACTGTCAGCTGATTTCTCAAAAGAAACTTTGCTGGCAAGAAAGGATTGGCAAGAAACAAAGTGATGCATAGCAGGGACCTACAGCTAAGATTGCTCCACCCAGCAAAGTTACCATTTAGAATTGAAGGACAGATAAAGAGCTTCCCAGACAATACTAAAGGAATTCATCATCACCAAACTATTATTATACTAAGTGTTAAAGGGACTTATGTAAGTAAAAAAAAATCAAAACCATGAATAATAAAATGGCAATAAGTACATACCTATCAACAACTGAATCTAAAAAAAACAAAGCAAATAAGAAGAACAGAAACAGAATCATGGATATTGTGAGGTTTTAGATGAGAGGTGTCGGGGAATGAGTGAAGAGGTGAGGGGATTAAGAAGTACAAATAGGTAGTTACAGAATAGCCATGGGGATGTAAAGTTCAGTATAGGAAAGGGAGTAGTCAAAGAACTTATACATATGACCCATGGACATGAACAATGGTGGAGGAATGGCCTGAGGAAGTACAGAGTGCTAGGCAGACATGGGGCAAAAGGGGAAAAATCAGAACAACTATAATAACAAAATCAATAAAATATAATTTAAAAATAAAAATAAATTAAAAAGACATTTTAAAATCATAATAATTACATTGTAATTAATCATAATAATTATAATTAATTACATAATTACACATATGACAAACAATAGTTTATTTAGACAACAAGACCACTGTTTGATATCTAAAAATAAACACAAAATATCTAACTCTTCTTTGGGTAGATTTAGAGAGTTGTAGAAATTTAGATACTATTTCCAAAAAAGTCTCAAACTAAAGCAGAAAAGGAGAAATAATTCATTTTACCAATTAGTATAAAACTACAATATCAAAAGCCCATCTTAAAATGGTGTTGTAGAAAAATACATGCTTTCATAGAATTAATGCATTAAGAGGTATCTCAAAGTCTTCCAGAATGCTCTGTGAATACTTGACAGACTTCATCATAGGACTGTAGATACTTTGAGAGGACTTTTGCTTTGGTCACTAGTACCTACAGTACTAATCTAGAGACCTGAGAATATGGTACTCAGTAATTATTTATTAAATTGAATCAAATTATCCACTAAATGCCAAGAAATAAAATTTTACTCAGTGTACCATGACACCTTACCTAGAAGAAAGATTCAAACAAACAACGATTTGCCTGACATGCAGTTGGATTTTGAGGTTCCACATATAGATGAAGCAGTTAAATTAAAGAGTTCATTATGACAATATCCAGATTAAAAACAATTTATCTGTGACTTTCTGCCTTACCTTTTCCACATCACCCAAGCCCTCAGTATCCAGAAGGACCAGAGTGTGGTTAGGCTTGGAGGGGTGGGGCACACACCACATCCAGATGCCCTTGGTTTTTGACTGCACTGTAGAGCCCAGAGGGAAACCTAAATGGAAGGAGAGACCCAACACACAGTGACAACAGATAATCTAAGCAGCCAAAGGATTGCAAAGTCAAACTTGTTGGAATGTAAGAACTTGAGAATATAGAATGGTACTTTCTCTGTTTTGTAAAAATGCCCTACTGTGTGTGTCATCTACTTCAAGGAGAAAATTAATGTTAACTGTGAGAATGATACCCAGCAAGTGCTCAAGATGGAGGCAAGAGGCATCCACAAACCAGAAAGAATGGAGGTATCTGATAACCATAATAAAAGCACTTTAAAAAATGGTCAAGTCCAAACCAGATAGCAGTGGACAAAAGAGGCAGCTAAAGAAAAAACAACAGAAGGAAAAAAAGAAATTGAGATGATATTTTGTCCAAAGTGATTTTAAAAAATGGTGGCTGGCTGGTGGAAGATAGCGGCCACAGTGGAATGTGCACTCACATAAAATTTTAACATCATGATAGATACTCAAACATCTTTATATGTTGATGGGAATATTCCATAGAGAGAGCAAAATGTGTCATGAAAGAGAAGAGACACAACTGAAAGATTACAGTGCTTGCACAGGTAGAATAAGGTAGGAATCTGCACATTAGTAGGAGAGATTTTCCTTAACTGAATAAAACAAAGAATATGGTAACAAAATACAATAAGGTTATAATTTAGTGGTGAGAATTAGAAGATTGGTTTATCGAGAGTAGTTCAGTCCTCTCTTTGCATAATCGGAAAAGAAAACGAATAAATTGTGATACGGAGTCAAAAACATGTCCCCTGCCAGAGGACAGCACTCACCATGGTTCTGTCCTGCAAGACAGTTCATCAAGTAGGATTTGCCTGTGCGATACAGTCCCACAATGGCCACGACCACCACTGGCTGAGAAATCTGGTCAAGAATCTTTAGAGCTTCCTGATTCACTGATAGCTGCTCATTGATGTTTTCTACCAGACAAATGGGGGCTCTCATGTTGGGTCCAAATGCCATGGCAACCTGCCAACCTGGGAGAACATCCCAGTTGAAAAGAGATTATACTGTTACTCTCCATGAGGCATTATACAAAGCATCCATCACCTTAGGCTGTGTGAGTTTTCTGCTTTGTTTCTGTCACAGTAAGCATCGGCTAAGCCCCACAATGAAAAATTCATCGATTTTTGGTTCTGCCCTTACAGTGACTCTCTGCAAGGGCCAAACTGCTCCCAATGCCATAAGGACCTCAGATTGAATGTTGTTGGCACTGGGCAGCCAATTCTTATAATGCACTAGAGTGGGCCTACCCAATGTAAGGGTCATCCTCACTGAGAAGCAAAGCCGTCACCTTATGAGAACATCCTCTCACCAAACTTAAGACTTAACCAGCTGCATAGGGGGCAATGAGGCTGATGCTGAGGGAGGACCTGGCATTAGGATGACCCCAGAAACATAAGCCATGATTTTTTAGCCAGAGATTTCATGCATCTCTTCTGTCTTAGTAGTTGGGAACAGCTACTCAACTAGTAATGAGTATGACTAGTATTCATCAAAATCTGATATTTTAAATTGACAATTCAGTTTGACATATGACAGATCAATGAAATGTAGTATCTACAGAATCATCTATGATATTCAAGAGACTGAATGAATTTGGGTTTCCAGAAGGGAAATAGCTTTTGATTTTTTTCTTTTGTGAGAAGTCATCAAAATCCTTTTGGCCACAAAGTATAAAAATCATTCCTTTTGAAACAAAATTGAGTCACTGGGAGATCATTTTTGTTTTTCAAAATAGAAATGTGCATCAAAATAAAGAAGATGTATATTTTAAGCCAATAAAATGTATATATTAATGAAATTCAGTTAGCAATAACAAGAGTACCTCTGAATTCTTTACCCTCTATGTAAGTGTTCAAAAATACCCATGTTGTCCTATATGCAGATGACTTGATACAATATATAGGAAAACTTAAAGATTCCACAAAAAACTATTAACACTAATTAATTAATTCAGTAAGTAGCAGGATACAAAGTTAACATTCTGAAATCAATCACATTTTTATATAACAATAACAAGCAATCAGAAAGAGAAATTAAGAAAACAATTGCATTTATAATTGCATTGAAAAAAGTAAAATACCTAGGAAAAAATTTAAACAAAGAAATAAAAGACCTGTACTCTGAAAACTGTAAGATATTGATGACAGAAATTGAAGAGTATACAAATAATTTGAAGGACATACAGTGCTCATAGGCTGGAAGAATTAATATTGCTAAAATGACCGTATGACCAAAGCAATCTACAGATTCAATGCAATTCTTATCAAAATACCAATGGTATTTTTCACCTAACTAGATGAAATATTCCTAAAATTTGTATGGAATCACAAAGACTCTGAATTGCAAAAGCCTTCTTGAGAAAGAAACACAAAGTTAGAGGTATCATGCTGTTTAATTTTAAACTATACCAGAAGGAAGTAGTAATCAAACAGTATGGAACTAGCATAAAAACAGATACATAGATTATATGAAGAACCCAAAAGTAACCCCACACTTATATGTTTGACTCATCTATGACAAAAGAGTCAAGAATATACAATGGGATAAACTTTTTTCAATAAGTGGTGTTTGGAAAGTGGACAGATACATACAAAAAATGAAATCAGAACACTTTACTATACCATATAAAAGATAAACTCAAAATAGATTAAATTCTTAAAAGTAAGTCCTGAAACCATAAAACTACTAGAAGAATACATAGGCAATAAACTCTTTGAAATTGATTTTAGCAATATTTGGGGAGAACATTTCTCCTAAGGTAAAGACAACAAAAGGGTTGAATAAACAAATGGGACTAGATCAAACTAAAAAGTTTTTACACCACAAAGGAAACCATCAACAGAACAAAAAGGCAACCTACTAAATGGGAGAAGATATTTGCAAATAATATATCTGGTAAGGGGTTGATATCGAAAATATATAAAGAACTCATGCAACTCAATATCAAAAAACAAATAATCCAATTAAACAATGGTCCTAGGGTCTGAGTAAACATTTTTCCAGAGAAGCTATTGATATGGCCAATAGATATATGGAATGATGCTTATCATCGCTAGTCATCAGGGAAATGCAAATAAAAACCACAATGAGCTATCACCTCACACCTGTCAGAATGGCTACCATCAAAAAGACAATGAAGGCTAAATCTTGGCAAGGATGTGGAGGAAAATGAACCCTTGTGCACCTCTGGTGTGACTGTAAACAGGTACAGCCACGATGGAAAACAGTATGGAGATTCCTTACAATATTAAAAGTAGAACTACCATGTGACTCAGCAGTCCTACTTCTAGGTATTTATCTAAAGAACTCAGAAGTGCAAATTCAAAAAGATGTATGCACTAACCACTATGCTACACATCTGTAACTAATACAGAATTATAGTGAAAGTAAACTTTAATTGAAAAATAAAAAACCAAAATGATACATTCACTCCTACGTTCATTGCAGCATTAATTACAATAGTCTAGATATGGAAGCAGTTTAAGTGTTCAATGATATACAAATGGATAAAGAAAACATGGTACATATATACAATGGAATATTAGCATATTCCATAGTCATAAGAAATGAAATCTTGTCCTGGTTGGTATGACTCAATGGATTGAGTGCCAAACTATGAACCAAAGCGTTGCCAGTTCAATTCCCAGTCAGAGTCCAAGCCTGGGTTGCAGGCCAGGTCCCCAGTGTGGGGGCAGGGGGTGAGAGGCAACCACACATTGATTTTTCTCTCTCTCCCTTTCTCCCCCCTTCTCCTCTCTAAAAATAAATAAATAAAATGTTTTAAAAAATGAAATCTTGCCATTTGCAACAGCATGAATATACCTAGAAGGTATTATGCTAAGTGAAGTATGTCAGAGAAGATCAAATACCACATGAAATCACTATGGTATTAAATGGAATCTAAAAACCAAAATAAATAAACAAAACAAACTCATAGATGCAGAGACAAACTGCTGATTGTCAGATGGGAGGGGCTGGGAGATGCATAAATAAGGTGAAGGAGGTTAAAAAGTACAAAGTTCCAATTATAAAAATAGTCATAGGGATGTAAAGTACAGCATAGGGAATATAGTCAATAATATGGGAATAACTGTATAGTGCCAGACAGGTACACCAACTAAAAATAACATATTATGTTAACTCTAATTTAAAAATACATTTTTAAAAATATCCATGTGAAAAGACCCAAAGCAAACTCTACTCTCCAGTGGGCCTGTAAACTCCTGAACACAGCTGCCATAGGATTTCATTAGAGAGAAGAAAGAACTACTCATTTTCCAGGAAGTGCTGAGAAGTTGGCATTTTCCAATTTTCAGAACATACTATGAAAGAGCTGCCCCAGGAGCAAGTTCGAGCCTGAGCAGTGACTTACAGCCAACACCCAGAGATAACATGCTTACTTTCCAGCTTATAAGTGTGAGACTGGGGGTGGGAATGAGGTAAAAATCTTTAGACAGCCCATTTCATTCTGGCTCTTTTTTTCCCTCTCCATCTAACAAATGAAGGCAGGCAGAGCTCTCTTAGCTAAGCCTACTCTTGATTTAATAATAATTAATAATAATAATGACAGTGATAATGTTACAAATATGGGGGGGGGGGGCAAATCTAATGTAATGTGGAGCCAAGGTTGAGAACCAGTGATAAGTCTAACCTATGCAAATTATAATTAGGAACACTGAGCTCATGGACGATGGAACTGCCTCTAATATCCCCCTTAAAGAGTCAGAAGACCCTGATTTCTCATTTCTCCATGCATCTGTCTGTTCCACTCCACTTGCAGCTGCCCTGGTTATGTGCCATGCTGCGAGGATGTCACCTCACAGCTACCTCTGCTCCAAATGGAGAAGCTGGGCTTTCCCAGAACTAAAGCCACAGCTGAAGCCCGCAGCCCAGACAATGAGGCTACAGGTGCCCTTACCACTGCATTCCTCAGAGACCATTTTGAGTTGGAAGTTGAGGGATTTAAGCTCAAGGCCAAACTGCATGCAAAAGAATCTTGATAACTGAGCATTTCTGCCCCAGGCTCCTCAGGTCAGCTTGTCCAAGCAAGCACAAGCTCCCAGTTGTTTCCCACCCCTGCTTGCTCCCTTTCCTCCTCCCACTCTTCTGTTGCTAGTGTGTAGAAGTTAAAACAAACTGAGAAATATTGTTATTTTTGCAAAGGAAACAGAAACAACTGAACCCAAAAACAGAAGTAATTGAGGTAATTTGTTTGGTAGGGACCACACATTTGGAAACTGCAGGATAAAAAAAGGTTTAGACCTTACAGTTATTTTTAACAGTTGATTAAAATACTTCAGAATGAATTAATTTCATCTAAATACCACTTTATAGAATTCTTGGAATATGAAAAATGGTTAATACAACAAAGAATATTTCAATATTTAACTGTATGTTGAGGATCATTTTTTTCTCTCTGTTTTTCCACTGTCCTAAAAAAGAAATATCTAAGGTGGGGAGGAGGGAGATGGGGGAAGGGCCTCTAACCAGTGCCTCTCTGGGGGGCGAGGCCGGGTTTTGTTCCTCAGCCACAGAAAGGAGTTCAGCCCCGTCAAGCAAGTGATGTAGGATACACTCCGCCTTCACCCATGTAGGGCTCTTTGTGCAGCCCTGTGTGGGCACCCAAGAAGAAGCAGCACATCCCAGGGACAACGTGTGCCCGCTGTCGCCTTTCAGCAGCCTAGGATCCAAACAGAAACACTGAGCTTCCCAGAGCATCTAGTCCCGTGGGTTACACCTCCTCCGGCCCCCACCACCTGCCAGCTGCCTCCTGGACTGCGGTGCGGAACCTCGCCCTTGGGGTGGGATATTTGTTGAAGCACGCGCTGTTGTTGTTGTTAGTTAACGAACTTGTGCACAGAAGATAAGGTCTAGGAGCAAACTTACGTGTCTCTGACACTGCAAACAGGGTCAAGGTCTCAACTGTCCTCGCTCTCCCCTTGCTTCTGATTCCTCCCGGTACCCGCTGCTCTCTTTTATAGATGGAAATTTGAGCCAGAGATTGCAGGCAAGCAGTTTTGTGTCAGGTCGGGAAGTACAGAACCGAAATCGAAAGGATACACCCTTTCCTGTCAAGTTAACTGTTGGGTTTTCATCCCCTCCCTCCTTCCACTGAAAGGCATGCAAGGGGCCAGGGAGGAGGCAAAGCTTCAGAATCCCAGCCGGGGTACCACTTCCTCATTTGGTTTGCTTTCCTGAACTCTACACAGAACACAGATGAGCAGGGAAGAAAGTGAGCCCATAACAGCAGGCTGACAGAGGTCAAGAGCCTGTCTCTCATGGGTCCTTTTTGAAAAGCAATAAGGGTTTTGTTGTAATTGTTGTTTTAATTTTATGCTTAGACTCCCTTTTCATTTCTAGATATTTTTAATTCTTGTTAGTAATTCGTTCTTTTTAATTAATGATAATTGTGTGCACAAAACTCTTACTTTTCCAGTCAAGAGATAATCACTATTATTTTGTAGTAAATTCTTCCACTTACTTTCTTTGTGGTGGCTCTATGGGGGATAATAGTGGTCCTGAATTTATATTTTGAGTGTTTGCTTTAAATAAAATAATATAAAAATGCAAACTCAAAAGGGAACATTCAAAATGAGCAAAGAAATAACCATCAACAAATTTTTAAAAGTTGACAAGTGCCACAAATATTGTCTCTGTCTTCTGGTTTTTTCTTCTAGTGAGTTTCATTCCCACATACTTGAATTTTAGTGTAAATAATAATTCAGAAACAAAACATATGTAATTCTAAGGGATTCCACTGTATTAAATTACTGAAGAAAATTACGTAATTAAATTAGACTTTTGTAACACCTGTTGTTTCTGGAGGGATATAGGTAGTAGTTATGTTCTGGGAACAGTTTGGGGTTAGTTTCATTGCCTGCCTATTTTTCCCTGCCTAGAATATTCTGAGTTGGTTTCAAAGACATTAAAGTGTTATTTCCACTTTCATCAAAATGTTTGGTTGAAATTGGTTGTTTGACAACATGGTAAAAACAAAGTAGCAACAGCTAGATGTTAGATTCATTTTTATAGCGTTATCAAAAATAGATTACTAAAATGAAAAACTTGTTCCAAGAAAGCTATTAAATACATTAAAAATTGAAATCCATTTATTCCATTTAATATGTTGCATAATACTACCAACCACATTCTTATGGGAGTGTTTGTCTTTTAATATGAGTTTCTATCCTGGACCTCTTCTTTTCAGTGTTATAACATATTCCATGGTGTGATATTAGTTGGTCATTCTTTATAACTTACCTTTGTTTGGTATTTTTAATTTGGGCAGTGGTAATTGTAAGGTTTTCTTAGACCCCGCCGAGGAAATAAACAGCCAATTAGCCATGGAAACAGGCAGATGAGCTTTATTTTGGAAGTTTGTGCTCCTGGGCGATGTTTTCCCCCGCCCGGAGAAAGGGCTAAGAAAACACCTTGCGGGAGAAGGGAAAGGCTGGGAGTTTTATATGGCTTGACTTCATGCAGGAGCCAAGGATTGGTTCTTGGTGAACAAAGAAGCAACTTAGCATTGGTGGCTCCTGGTCTGATGTCAGTCACCTCTTCTAGGTCAGAGTTCAGTTGCCATATTACTTGTAGTCCAAACGGTGGCCATATTTGTAATCCAAAATGCTAATTGTAACTAGATTCCCACTTGTCCTACCCCGCCCATCCTGACAGTAATATTTTTCCTGCAAAACATAGTGGCAGCTCTCACTGGCATATGTAACATAACTGTGCGGACCATTGCCTTTGCATATTTAAAGAGGAACGGAGTAAGGTTCTCACCCTTGGCAATCTATACCTTGAAGGAAGGAAATACAGAATAAAGCAATAAGTGATGAGTGTTAAAAATTATATTTCAAAAAAGTGCCTGTCTCTACAAAAGCAACAGTTAAGTATTAGGAAGGGTTATAGATGGCTTGATGGAAAAGGTCTCATTCCTGTTGGATGTTAAAGAATGACTCCCTTCTGTTCCAGAGTGGTGTGACTCAGTGGGTTGGGCATAGTCCCACAAACCAAAAGGTCACCAGTTTGATTCCTGGTCAGGGCACACACCTGGGTTGAGGGCCAAGTCTCCAGTTGGAGGCGCATGCTGATGTTTCTCTCACTCTTTTTCTTCCTTCTTTCCCCTCTCTCTAAAAAATAAATAAAATCTTTTTTTAAAAAAGAATAACTCACTTTTGAACAAGGCAAAAAAAATGGGAATGAGCAAATACACAAAAGTAGGGGCTGGATGCTAGCAATCAACTAGGTCCAATGTAGCCAGTGTAGTGGACTGACTGAGAATAAAGTAGAGAGATCGATTGGGACCTGGACCATGGACTATGGACTATGTTGCACAGACAAGTAGAGACTCTGATGTTTACTAGGCATGCCCAGAGCCATTTTGAAGTGTGTTTCTCTGATGGTAGGAATAGAGAATGAATAAATTGAGAGTATTCAAGATCAAAATCAGATTAAATAGGCTGGTGCTACAGCTTCGAAAGTATGTTACAGTCCCACCACTCTATCTTTCATTCAGGGATTCAGGTTCCTTCCATTCTGTTGTTCTGTATCCCCTAAAGAGTTGTACACATCTGCAAGGTAAAGGTTGAGTGCTGCCATATCTGATATCCAGACAGCAAATGGAAATAAGTAACTGGTAAAGAACAGGCTCCAAGTTTTCTTACCCAGGCCCACAAATAACATGCATATAATTCTGCTCATATTCCATGTGCACATAGTCACACGTGGATGCAAGAGCAGCTAGAAAGATTTAATCTGTACTTGGGTAGCTATAAGATCATCTTTTAAAATACAACCATCCAATATTTAGAGCTGAAAATTCTGTCATAGCTTTAAAAGTATATGCGTGAATATCAGAGACAGCTTTTTTTAAAGACCCTTATTCTAACTTGGCAATTTCTAGAGTTGAGCATAAGCTGGGCTAGTGTTGTGATCCTGTATTTACTGAGACACAGCAATTGATGCAAGATGAGTGTTAGGCAACAAACCAAATCAAAGGAAGAGAGCCGTTCCTTATCAACTGGATCAAAAGAGTTGGACCTCCCCTTCTCTCTCCTTACTTTTTGCTGTTTTTTATTTTGTTCCTGGAGGCTACAATAATAAAATGTGAGGCTAGAGATAAAGAATATAAGGTTAGATTGTTCTTTTAGCCATTAAGTTAATATTCTATTATTGTTATTGTTTTATTAGCTTATCATATTTTATTTTTAAAAGATTTTATTTATTTATATTTAGAGGGGGAGGGAGAGAAAAGAAAGGGAGGGAAACATTGATGTGAGTGGGAAACATCGATTGGTTGCCCCTTGCTCACACCCCAACTGGGGGTCAAACCTACAACCCAGGCATGTGCTCCAACCAGGAACCAAATGGGCAACCTTTCACTTTGCTGGACAACACTCATAGATTAGGGCTGTTTATCATATTTAATGTTTGTTGAATTATTTTAATTGTTATTATTATATTTATTGTTATTATTATTATTATGGAAGAAAATACATTTGGAGTTCCTCCAATCTTCCATGGTGGTAAATTATTGTAACAAAAGGTATCTTTTAAAAAGACATGGTTTGGTAAAAGTAGATTTACAGTTGTTCACATGGAAAAAGATGTCCAGGTTATGATTATTACAATTGCTTCATTGACTCTGTGTTTTTTGTATTCACAACTATAAATCTACTTTTGCTCCACACTGTATATTCCATAAGCCTAAGTGTCCATCAGTAGATGAGTGGATAAAAAAGCTGTGGTACCTTTACACAGTGGAATATTACTCAGCTATAAAAAAGGAGGAAATCTTACCTTTTGAGACAGCATGGATCAACCTGACGAGTATTATACTAAGTGATATAAGCCAGTCAGAGAAAGACAAATACTATATGATCTCAGTTATATGTGGAATGTACTGAACAAAATAATTTAACAAACAAAATGCAAAGAGAAGCATGGATACATAAAACAGACTGACAGCTGTCAGAGTGGTGAGGGTTGGAGGCTGGGTGAAAAATGAGGATGTTGTCTTTTAGAGCTTCCCCAAAGCATAGCTCATTGAACACTATATAATTTTAGTATACATTTAACTGGAAGAGTAGAAGAGGGAAAGAAAAGAGATATATAATCTTCCAAAATTAGTGAGAGACAAAAACCACATACCCAGAAGTTTAGAGAGCCCCATGTGAAACATACAACAGACAAAAGTACACCTAAGAACACCATAGCTAAATTTATGAAACCCACATATTGACAAAATTTTGAAGACAGCAAGAAGATGAAAAGAACATTATTTACAGAAGACTTTTTTCCTAGAAATGATGCAGGTTAAAACAAAGTGGAATAAGATATCCAAAGTATAGAATAAAAAAGAATAGTGAACCAGAATTTTCTCCTTGATAAAATTGTATCCAAAAGACTATAAATAAAACTTTTTAAAAATAAAGTTGATTGAAATTATTTAAGAATATTTCATTAAAGTTTGATAAAGAAGGTTGTTCTCACAAAGAAATGAAAATGCCTAAAGTGATAAAAGTGTCAGTAAATTTAAATAAAATAAAATGTGTAAGTAAATCCATATCATGAATTAAAGGCATCTCTTTATTATTGCAAACAATGCAAGTACAAAAATATAAGAACATGGGGTGAGGGGTCAGAGCTCCTACCCTTAGCTATAGCATGGATGGATCTGGACAGCATTATGCTAAGTGAAATAAGCCAGGCAGTGAAAGACAAATACCATATGATCTCACCATCCTGCATCTTAACCCTTGCTGAGCAACATAAACAGACTCAGGGTTCATCAGAGACTGGCAAAGGGCTAAACCAACCTGCATACTATCCTGGGAAACAGACTAGTACTCCCCCCTCACAGGTGAGCCAAAGAAACACCCTTCTGGCATCTGGCAATCCAAAATCTTGGCTCAGGAGCTCTACCAGAGGCCCCACTGTGCCAAGTACAGGAGATAATCCTGGACAGACTCAGACTATGACTCCAGGGAAGGTGAATCAACCCACCATCTTCCCTGAAATCTGAAAGGCACCTGCC